GAGGGGAGCCCCGGTGGCCCTGCCACCCCCCAATGTGCCCCGGAGCCCGCCGTCCTGCCAACTGACCCTCAAGTTCGGGGCCGGGCACGAGCCATCCGTTTCCAGCCTTCCTTCATTTTCTCTGGTCCTTAGGGTCCCTGGTCTTGTGTGTGATCCAGTGAGTGACAAGCTCGTGAAATGGCCTTTGGCTTTGAAGATAAAAGCAGCATCTGCCTGCTTCCTTCGCGGCGTCCTGCCTGCGGGGGCCTTTCCGGTTGTGACGGCCTCCCGGGAGGCTCTTGCTGGCATATCACCTGGTGTTCCGGGTGGAACGCAATGCGAGACCCTTTTCCTCCGGTTTCAGAGGCTTTGGTGACGCTGGGGCTGAGGTCAGAAACAATCTCATCGGCGATTTTTCTTCCTCGTGCACAAGACCTTGGTCACCCTCAGGGGGCTTCTGATAGAGGATGGGTCTCGCCTGTGCCCAGCAGGTGGAGGGGGCCGAGGAGGTCCCTCGCTCAGGGAAGACGGGCCCTGCACGGGAGCAGCTCAGGGCTTGGCTGGCCAAGAAGCCGCCACGGGGGCCCTGGCTGAACGAATGGCTGGCCAGTCAGATCTCAAGAAACGGAGCCCTCGGGAGGGTGGGTGCTGGGGTCCAGGGAAAAGAGTGCTGGAGGACGGGGAGCAGTTTGGGGACCAGACCACCGTCTCCCAAGCACTGCAGTGACCAGCCTCCATTTGCAGCTGGTTCCTGCAAAACACTCGGGGGTTTTCCCAGCGAGGTTGTCTTCGCGGGGAGCACGCTGACAGCGGCTGGAAGAGGGCCCGGCTCCTGCGGCCACGGTGCCAGCGTCTCCCCTGCCGCTCCCAGCAGCGACGTCTGTGGGTGCAGACGTGCCACACAGGAACAGCCTCCCCAGCCAGCCATCTGGCACCTCTGGTCCCCGCCCGGAGGTCAAGGCCTGTCCACAGGCCATCTTACAGCTGTGTCTGCCAGGAGTGTCCTCGGCAGCGTAGACGCCAGGGAACCAACAGCAAGTCAGGACCTAGAGACGACGGGGAGGGCACGTGCCCGAGGAACGCCAGGAGCAGGAGGCTGTGTGGGAAGAAGGCAGGGCCGTGGCCCAGCAGTCAGTGACCCGTCCAGCATGTGCCCACGACGCTGGCCGGCGATGACACCCCAGCGTGGATGAAATAGAGAACGTGTGCGGGGCTCAGGAGAGGCTGGCGGCAGAGTCTCCCGGTGGCCGGCACACCCAGGCGCTCAGACGTGCCTGGATCACAGTTGCTGATGGTCGGGAGCTGATCGCGGATCACGGAACACGGCCCCGCGGGGGAGACTGAATCGGCACAGAACACCGCCCGGCTGCAGAGGGACGGCAGGACTCTGCACGCGAGGGTTTAAAACTGCTGAAAAATTCACCGTTCAAAGACGAAATCTCGGGGAAGTGCCAAAGTGTCGGGAAGTGTGGGCTGGACATAAGAGAGAAACAGTCGTGTGCTGGAGTCAGTCCTGGGCCCACCGGGTGGGCAGGATCCTGAGGCAGCCCCAAGGTCCCCACCCCCGGGTGCACCCCCAGAGTAACCCCCTCGTTTGAGACTGGGCAGGCCCGTGAATAGGGTGGTGGGCCAACCCGGAAGGACATTACGTGATGTAACGTAAGCCTGGGGCTCATACAGACTCTCCTGTGGGTGTTGGAGAAGCCAGCCACTTGGCATGGGGTGGGGGGCCACGGCAGGGAACACGGTGGCCTTGGGGCTGAGAATGGCTCCTGCTGGCACCCAGCAAGAGTGGGGAGACCTCCTTCCCGGCCCCGTAGAATGAACTTACCTAGACGTGACCTTGGGGACATGGGAGGCGCAGGCCTAGTGAGATCAGGCTGTGTCTGCAGCGATGCTTGTAATCGATCCTAACGGCAATGATCCGGGGTCCTCTGGGAACAGCTGGGTCTCACAGACAAGGCTGTGCCCCCACAGGTGGCGAATGTTCCAACATGGCCATCCATCCGTCCCATCTGCTCTGATCCCCAGCCCTGGGTCCCACACTTGGTTGTCCCTCTCGAAACCACGGCCGCCATTCTCTGAACTTGGGCAGCACCTGTTAGCATGGCTCTCAGGTAATGTGACAACACCTGTTCTGTCACTGTGAATTACAGTCATTGAAGACACGGCTTATCTCCTCTTACAGATTGCAAATTCCTTTGGAGGCAACCATATACCATTAATTTTTTTTAATGATTTTATTATACATCTAGAATCCCCCAAACTCTCATAATCCTGGTAGAGTTAGTTATGTGACACTGATTCTGTGACATCCTCTGCCCTCCCTAGCGAGCTGAGAGACCGGTCCCTAGCAGGTGGACAGGAGCCTGTGTGCCTGGGCTGAGCCGAGGCGGCCCACAGTTTCTCTCCACAGCTGCCCTAACGGTGCTGTGGTCGGGAGCCAAAGAATGATGGGATCGCTCTGCCTGGATGCTTCCCCGGGAACCCTGCCCCCAACCCCTGGGGTGTGTCCACACTTTACCATGTTCTCCTTGGAAGAAGTCCCCGGGTGGAGCCTGGGTCATCCCGCCCAGTAACGGAGCTCATGAATATTAACAAGGGGGTTTGACTTTTGTTAATAAAGGTAGAAAGCGTCGATTAAAAAAAACCCCACACATTGTGGTGTACCAAGTAAAGCACCTGTTTATTAAAATAGTGTCTCTACCAGCAACACGTCAATGTGCTCAGAGGTGAGAGGGTGAATGGGTTTTGTTTTTGTAAAGCCACCGTTAGCTTGCTTTCTCCTCTGGGCCCAGGGTTCATTCCCCGCCCGTTGGGCCGGAGTAGCCTCCCTCAAATGCGCATCACGTGTGACTGCCCGCCGTGGCTCCCCAGGTCAAGTGCAGGTCCTCCGTCAGCCTGGGACTGTCCTGCCTCTCCCCGACCCCTCCCTGCCCCCCAACGTGCTCTGCCGTTGTCACATACCCCCAGCTCACGAACACGCCTTTGCACCCCAGACAGCCCCTCCTGGACCCCCCGGCCCTTCGGGAGCCTGAGGAGTGTCCATGTTCCAGAATAGTCAGTGTTCTGGAAACCGATCCCTGGGGATGGGGATGTCCCTTCGCCGTGGCCTCTCCGTGTCCGGGAGTGTCCCTCATATGGCACAGATGCCTCGCAAGGGATCATTAGCTCGCTTGTCTGCCTTGCCCCAGGCCACGGGCTCTCTGATGTCAGGACCTTGACTCTCTCTGAGTCCTCAGCACGCAGCGTGGGGCCAAGGGCATAGTCAATCCCTAGTCCATGCTTTTAAGTGGATAAATTATTGTGTAAACGACTTAAACGTTTCCTTGCTCTGTCAGCGGGGAGAAGCTAGAAGCTCCGTGTCCCACGGCGGAGAACCAGGTCACGGTTTCTGATTTGTTCTCCAGCAAAAGCAACCGCGATTCTTGGAGAATTGTCTGACTCTAGGGCTGGGGCAGGAGAGACACAAGATGAGGCCGGGGCACCTTGAAGTTCCAGAAAATAAGGAAGGGCCCCCCCCCAAAACGATGATGGGGTACGCCAAAGGCACGCTGGAGCCAGTCAGAAAACCTCTCAACGGCCAAAGCTGGAAGAATGTGGGCAAAAACGAAGCGTCTGGATGATATTGGGTTATAACCCAGGTTAGAAATACCCATGAGCCTGTAATGATACAAATAAATGATGCGATAAATAAGTAAATGTGGGGGAATCGGTAAATATCCCCTTGAGAGTTCCAAATAGCTCGTATTGGGATACCCCCCTCAAGAGGTGGAACATAACCCGAGGAGGGGCTGCACACAGTGACTTCCCCCCCAGAAAGCACAGCGGGAAGGGGACAGAGAGTGAGTGTGAGCAGGACAGAGCTGGTGAGCACAGCCTCAGCCCAGTGGTCTGGGTCCACACCGCGCGTCGTCAGTCACGGTGACAGGAAGTGCTGTGACGTGCTGCATGAAGACAGCACCTTGTTCTGTGCTTTTCCCCAAACCCAGAACCTTGGTCTAATCATCTAATTATCTAAAAGATAATCCTAATAGAGGCCATCTTACAACACTCCTGACCAGCAAAACCGTCAAGGCCAGAATAACAAGGGAAGTCGGAGAAACTCACATGACACTGTCCCGTGCTGTCCTGGGTGGGATCCTAGGGAGAAAAAGAAAACTGGGTCAAAACTAAGGAAGTCTTTTTTTCTTTGTTATTTTTTTTTTTAATATTCATCTTTAAGAGAGAGAGAGAGTGTGTGTGTGAGCAGGGGAGGGGCAGAGAGAGAGAGGGAGACACGGAATCTGAAGCAGGCTCCAGGCTCCAAGCTGTCCGCACAGAGCCTGATGCAGGGCTCGAACCCACGAACCACGAGATCATGACCTGAGCCAGACTCGGATGCCTAACCGACTGAGCCACCCGGGTGCCCCCAAAACTAAAGAAGTCTTAAATGTGGACTTTTGTTACCAACCGTGTAGACAAATCTGGCATCCATACTGATGGAGGATGTTCACAGTATGGGAAGCTGAGTAAGATATGTGGTCACTCTGTAATCTTGTTAACTTTTATGTGAATCTAAAACTATTGTAACATGGTTTGTTTCTAAAAACATGGCCTACCTAAAAAGATTTAAATATTGACTAAAAATCAACTAAAATTGTTGCAAAGTGCAGACTATAAGAAATCGCCCTCTGTCATGGTCTGCGGGGTTCTGAAAGTTTTTACCGTTATTTCTGATTTCAAGATGTGACATTCCAGAATGGTGTTCCAGCTGCACAGATAGAATGGGGGCTTCAGATCAGCGGCACATGGCCCTGGAAGAAATCCAGGGAAGAAATAGTGGCATGAGTGTAGAATTTAATTTCCCAGTGCTCTAGGTGTTGATTTCCTGGAACGTTGGCATGCCTAACGCTCTCGTGCAAGGCTGCGTCGCTGAGCCCACGGCACCCCGATGCTGTTTGCCCCCATCGATGATTTCAGCATGACCTCGGGCTCTGTGTTAGATGCTAAAAACAACTCTGTTGAATATCTTTCTTCAGGTGTCAGCGTTTTCTACCTGGGAGAAAGAATTACACAAAATCGTGTTTGATCCGCGTTACCTCCTGCTAAACTCTGAGGAGCGGAAGCAGGTAACATGGTGGCGGGCTGGCGGGCTCTGGAAACCCAGCGCGAGCAGGACGCTCCTCCTGACGCTCGTGACACGCAGACGCCTGTCACGTTCATTTTGTCAGAGGGGAAGGGGTAGACCCGGTGGTCTCGCGTGTGAGCTTGTGCGCAGCAGTGGTTACCGGTGCAGAGGACGGTCATCCCCGCAGTGTCTTAGCAAACCATCTGGGGGTGATCCCACAGGACAGATGAAAATGCACGTGCTGGGAACACTGACCGCAGCCCAGATAGCTGTGTTAAGACTCAATTAAGCTCTTATACGATGACATTGAACGAGAGGAGGGTCCCGGAAACAGTAAGAAGGTGTATGAGGGAAGGGGTGGCGGGTCCAGAGGGCAGGTCCCCAGAAAGGGCAGAGGTGGGCGAGAGGCAGCTCGCCTGGAGGACACGTTAGCCTGGCTGGTCTGCGCTGGCTGGTCTGCGCTGGCTGGTCGTCAGCGTAGATCATGGAGCTGATACGGCTTCCAAGACGAAGCGGACGGACAGAGGGACGGGCGGTGCTGACTGCCGGCTGAGGGACTGGGCCCTGATGCACAGCCCGGCTGGGGTCCGGTGTTCCCTGGAGGTCTCTGGGGTCTCTGGTTCCTGCTCCAGTCCTGCCTCTTCTGTCTGCACTCTTCTGAGTGTGAAATGATGCACATGGAAAGTGGGTCATCGGATCGGCCGCTGGAAACAGAGAGGGCCGGAGAGCTGTTTCAGATGTGGCCTCTGTCACCACGGCCCGTGTGCTATCAGACAGCAGAGCCCGGGGCCCAGAGGACAGAGAGGGCAACCCCATTTCCAGCTCTGTCGTGGGTCCTGAAGTTTCCTCAAGCACACGCCGGCACGATCAGTGAAACACCGAGCGGGCAGAGCCTCGGGCTTGCGGACCCCTGCCCGTCCCGCCGATGGCAGGGCCCCGCTGGCACACGCTGGAGCTTGGGATGGTGCTGGGTCGGCCACACTGGAACACGGAACTTAGACCTTTGAGGAACTTAGAATTAATGACCTTTTTGTTGCATTGCAGCTGGCTTGTATTTTCCAGAAGGAAACATCTGAAAACGTGTGAAACGTGTTAGCAGTGGCTCCAAAAAAAAAAAAGTTACAATAGAGTCAGAGGAGGTTAGATTAAGCACGCACACACACGTGTGCACACAGCCGAAGAAAACTGTAGACTTTAATCATCAGTGATATTTCGCTCTTCTGTGCGATATTAAAGAGCAAACGGTCAGACTACTCGGCTGTGAGCACTCGTAGTCCACTTGTTTTTGTGAAGAATGCCTTACTTGGTGAAGACCCGCACGCTGGCCATCTGTGGACCGTGCTTTCGCTGATGGCGCGGTCGGCACCATCGTTGCCAGTTCAGGGGTGTTTTTAGAGACCGTTAGCCCCTTTGAAGGAAGCTGAGGAAGCCCGCCCCCCCCCGGGGGGGGGGGGGGACCCCCGGCCCCCCCCACACGTGATGGGAGCACGCGACGCTCAGTGTGCTGCTGAACTGCTCTGGGGGTGTCCTGCACCAGGTGCACACGTGAGCACCACGGGGCTGCGCATCCCTCCCCCCCATGGCAGCAGGTGCAGCTGTGGCCACCTAGGCTGGGATGTCCGGGCCCCCACGCCTGGATGTGCGCTGTGCAGACAGATCAGACCGGAGTGCACTGTTCGGGGGACACCATCAGACAGAGGAAACTTCAGGGTCACCAGCCTGCAGCGTGGCCCCGGAGGCCCCGGGAGGAAGAGCGGGAACTGGGCCTCGCTGGCGGTCGACACAGAGCAGCATCAGAGAGCCCTGGGATCAGAAACCACCCGCGACGCAGGGGAAATGCCACAGCTCCTATGAGCACTGGTGCTGGAGCCGTGCCGGAGAAGGAGGCAATATCTAGGCCACCCGAAACCCCAGTGCTCCTCACAGGACCCCACCCACCCACCCCCACCATTGATGGCAAGCATCCGGCTAGAACCTACACCGGCCCCGCTGTCACATGGTGTTTCTATGCGGAAGCTAGAGCTCATGGTGGGCAAACCGCCAATGGCCCGTCCTCCACAGGGGGCTGCAAAGGAGAAGCGACTGAGCCCAAACAGAGACGAGGGGTTGGGCCACGCTCATCAGACCTGTTTCCACGGTAACAGATAGTGTTTCTTTTTCATTATGGGAGGACATGCCATAGCGGGACAATGGCCAGTGGTCTCTCTTTCAAAAAGTCGTGCCCCACTTTGAGTGAAGCTGGTGTAATTTGTCAAAACGGGGAGAAAGACGCCGCTACGTTAAATTATAGCGGCGTAAATAGAGTGACAGGGCGGAGGGAGAGGCGAGAACTCGGCATGGGTGGGCGCTCAGCGGTAGGAGAAGCGGGTCTCCCGCGGCCAGGCAGGGTTTCTGTCCAGACTTAAAATTAGTAGAGCAAAAGCTCTGATGACGGAGCCCCACTTTTTTGTGGATAATAACCCTTCCTTCACCTGTTTTATTAGTTTAAGTTCTAAGACAGCCGGCGAGGTTGCACGCCACTTGCCTTGAAGGTGAAATAAGCCGAGATAGTCCTACTTCAATATGTAAGCACACCTTCTCCATTTAAGTCCTGCTCCTGAATGTTTCCTTTCCGTGCAGAGTCTTCAGGACAGGGGAGCATTGGGTGTTTATAATCCCGTAAGGCGAGTGGCCACTGAAAGGCAGTGTGAAATCCCCGTCCAAGCCGAGAGAGCCTCCTGCATTGGCCACGTCTTCCCCGCCTCCCCCTTGGGGGCAGGAGTGCGGGAGACCCCCAGAGCGCTCGGGTCAAAGTCTAATGTTGGCAGTGGCCTTGGGTCCGGTTGGGACAGAGTTGCTGTTTATAGGCCTTCCAGGGTCACACGTGAAAATTGTATTGATCTTTTTATTCACGTGTGCGCACACTCTCAAGTCATCTCCGGTATTTTCTTTTTAATGCTCTTGAGGCTCGGATAGCATTAGGAATGAAGCAGCTGTCCCTACCCCCTTCGGGCTCCGGTTTGTAAATGGCACCTCATACCACAACGATGCGCTGCCCCCATCCATTGACGGACTGACGGCTGCAGAGAGGGTCCTCGGTGTCACGTCACTGTGTTGACTGTCACCTCGCGAGGGAGAGGGTCCCGGGGCCATGATGCACCTGCCCACCAGACGATACTCGTATCCTTCAGGCTAGGGGACGGGGTTCTCCTGCTCAAAACCCACTTCTTGTCCTACTGGGGATCACGCAGTGTCCGAGGGTCAGGTCTTCGCCTTGGGTCTGACCACCCAGAGGCTCCGTGACGCCCCCAGGAGAGGCTTGCCGTGTCTGCGTGATGCCCCCGCCCTGATGCCGAGACCACAAGTGGTCTTCTTAGAGACTAGAGGCTGAGGGATCAGAGATGCTGGGTTGACTTTCTTTTCACAAGTTAAAATCACGTTTGGAGGCTCAGATGCCAATTGTGTCACTGTAGGAATTGACTAGAACAAATGACAAAACCTCATGTGTTCCTGGGACGACCGGCAGCGATGTGAAGGTCAGCCAGACAGCGCATGACCCCAGAAGCTGCTCACGGAATTCCGAAACAAGAAACAGGACCCACCCCCGCCCCCAAGCGGGGCTGATTCAGCGTTTGACCCCGAGATTCTCTTGGGGATCCAGGCTTAATTATGTAGACGCTTGGTTCAGGAGAGCCCCTCCCTGGAGGGGCTGTGCCTTCCACCTTATGGAAAAGAAAGGCTTAACCACAGATGCTCGCTGTTCTTTTGTGTTGTGTTTGAGGCACAAGATTTCATTTCTGATATGCAACCTGTAATACTTTTCTGTGTGTGTGTGTGTGTGTGTTTCAAGATATTCGAACAGTTTGTCAAGACAAGGATAAAAGAAGAATATAAGGAGAAGAAAAACAAATTGCTGCTCGCCAAAGAAGAATTCAAGAAACTTCTGGAGGAATCTAAGGTGTCACCCAGGTATGGAGACAGAAATGCCGGGTGACTTCGGGGTGGGAGACTTACGATGACTGTAAGAGGGCTTTTAAAGTCTGTTCTGGTTAAATCGTGTAACCTACCATCTCGGAGACCTCACAAGCGTAATGGTGAAGTTGCCGGTGACTAAGCCACCAGCCCTGCCTGCCTGCGAGGCTCACAGTTCTCTCTGCTCCCCACACCCTTCCGTTTTGCTGCCCTGCCTGGTTTTCCAGCGTGGCCACCCTGACTCCATGACCTAAATAACTAGTCAGTAGGTCAGCACTCAAGATGAGGGCTACCCTCGAATCTAGGGATCAGAAAGTAAGCGCACGGAACACGAACTCGGAGACTAGGCATACAGAGCCCGAACAGCGGCAGTAAAATAAACCTCACCGTTGGTTGCAGACGTCTCCCCAGTCGGCCAGGGTGGAAAGAGAAGGGACACACACCAGGGCAAATGAGCCAAGTAATTTTGCTGCCAAAGTCACCTAAAATAACCTGGCACTGTTCCCGTGAAATAAACCAATAGGAAACTGGATGTTAGAACTTAGAAAAATGCATGAACTTAAGTCTTCTTTAAAATTGGCTTCTGTGTAAAAATGTTTATTTATTTATTTATGAGAGAGAGAGAGAGGGAGAGGGAGAGAGAGAGAGAGAAAATGCAAGCAGGGGGAGGGGCAGAGAGAGAGGACACAGAGAATCCCAAGCAGGCTCCATGCTGTTAGTGCAAACTCATAAGCTGTGAGATCATGACCTGAGCCAAAATCAAGAGTCAGACACTTTAACTGGCCACCCAGGCACCCCTAAAATTGGCTGATATTTAAGAAGTAATGAACATTGTACTACTTTTAGAAATATAGGACTATAACTTTTATAAGCCAAAAAAATTGACTTCGGTTTATTTTTATTTGGGGTTGAGATACATCTGAATGGACGTTTATGCATTATTATTTTTAATAATAATGCGGGCACTTCGGAATTTTAGTAATAATGCATAAATACGACATTATTTTTTTTTAAAAAAACATTAATTGATGTTTGCTTTCTGTGAAGACATAGGCTCCCATGTTTTGATTGATAATCATTTAGTTCATCTGGTCAATAATTGGATGTTGGTTATATGGTCCTTATAAAACCTCTCCAAGTATTTAAAGGACAGATGTTTTCTGAATGGGGAAAAATGCAGCATGAATTAACCCCATCACAAAAGGCTAATCTAGAAGAGCAAATGTTCATCTAAACGTTTGTAAATTGTGACTTCCTGTGGTTAGAGATGAGAACACTGGCATCTCTGCGTCCCCACATGGTGACCCTAGGAGAGAGGAGTTGGTGTGGAGCCCCTGCCTCGGGGCACAGCCCCCCCCCCACCCCTCCTCAGCCCTGCAGTGGAGTGAGGCATTGCACCTTTCTGAGCTTCCGGCATCGTCTGTGGGCAGTACGGCTACAGCAGAGTCCCTGGGTGGTGCAGACGCGGAAGCGAACATAGCGCCTGGCAGGTAGAAGGAGCTTGGTGATGGAGATGCCTCTCATCACCATCATCATCAAATATTCTCAATCTGTCCATTGGTAAAACGTTAACAGTAAGTCAACACACTCCCCTTCCCGTCCTGAAGACAAAGGAGAAAATACTCATAACGCGTCTGGCAATTAGGAGAAAGATCTCTCTCTCTCACACACACACACACACACACACACACACACACACAGAAGGAAAATGACTGATAGAAATCAGAAAGTTAAACTTACTTCTTCTTTAAAGGTAGATTACTGCCTGCTATGTTAAAAATGTGCACCGGGGCGCCTGGGTGGCGCAGTCGGTTAAGCGTCCGACTTCAGCCAGGTCACGATCTCGCAGTCCGTGAGTTCGAGCCCCGCGTCGGGCTCTGGGCTGATGGCTCGGAGCCTGGAGCCTGTTTCCGATTCTGTGTCTCCCTCTCTCTCTGCCCCTCCCCCACTCATGCTCTGTCTCTCTCTGTCCCAAAAATAAATAAATGTTGAAAAAAAAAATTAAAAAAAAAATGTGCACCATGCATATGTACTTTTATGATTTTTAAACCATTTTTATGTCAAAATGGCTGATTCTGCACCATCGCCAAGACTTTACAGACCACTTCACCTTCTCCCCTCACTGTTCCATAGGTGTCCTAGTAGAATACGTGCAGTTCAAGTCGCTGCACACGGGTGGCCGGGTGAGCTAAGCACAGGCCATCTGAGCACCCTAGAAGCAGCCTCTCGGGGTTCAGCAGCTCCGCCAGTTACACTGTGCTCTGGCCCTGTCACCACAGCCACGGGGACGGCCAGAGCCAGCTCCCAGTCCTGCCCGGCTCTGGGGGTCCTGAGATGGGGCGAGGGGCCACGGGGGTCCTCCCCTCGGTCTGCCGCTCAGGCTGTGGGGTCTGCACTCTGTGCTTCTCCCCAAGGCCACACTGTCTGCCTCCTTTAGGTGCAGGTGGGCTGTGTCCCCAGCTGCCAGAGGGCAAAGGGGGTGCTGTGCCCGTGACTCAGGGGCTCCCCCGGCCCACTGGAAGGCCCAGCAGAAGCCAAGGTGCCCCCACGGCACGGCTGGGGGGCCACAGATTTGTAATTCTCCCTCTCTTCTCAGGGACACTTCTTTTCAGAAGTGCCCCGAGCAGGACCTTGTAGACAAGATCTATGCTCAGCCTCTGAATGGAAGATACGCAGGCTGCTATCCAGACAAGGGAAGAGAGTAGCAAGTCCCTGTGATTCTCATCTTGGAAGGAAGGAAGGATGAGACAAGGGCCTTAGTCCTTTAGTCCATTTGGGCTCCTGTTCCCAGGAACACAAACCAGGGGCCTCAAGCAACGGATACTCCTCCCAGTTCTAGAGGCTGGAAGTCCGAGATCAGCGCTCTGGCTCAGGGTCTGGTGAGCCCTTTGTGACCTAGTCACCTCCCAAAGGCCTTGACCCCCCCCCCCAACACTAGCACCGGGGGGTGCCAGGAGGTCCACCTAGGATCCTGGGGGATGTACACTTTCAGTGCAGAGGAGGAGGAAGAGGGAAGAAGGGCAGCAGAGAGAAGCGCTTTCTTTCTGAGACGCGCATGAGCAGGCACAACCCCGGAGCGTGACCCAGGAGGCTGTGGGGCTGGACCAGGAAGAGGGACGCTGGTGGCAGGTGGGGATGTGTCCGGGCTCCTGACAGCCATGTCAGTGCAGCCCTCCTGTTTATGTGTGAAACAGCTGTTACAGTATAATCCTTTGATACAAGAGTGAAATGTCTGCAGCGGAGTATGAAGTCCTCCACAAGGAGAAGCGGGAGGACTTTGGATCCCCAGACCGAGCTCACGTAGCCCTGCGGGCCTGTTCCAGGCTGCCAGCTCGGGCCTGGGAGGGGGGAGGCGGTGGGGACCCGTGCTCGCGAAGGTGCCATTTGTCCCTGCAAGGGGCTTACCCACTTGCCCTTTGAGCCGCCCAGACCCTGCGTCGGACTCCCGGGCCCGTTCAGTTGACCTTGGCTTCTTCCACACGCCGGCCACTGCCGCCAGGCGTCCGGGACCTTTGGCGGGAAACGACACGGATCACAGAGCCTCCAGTGGAGGGGGGGGCGGGGAGGAGTAGATGGCACAGTTGGGCTTACCACGGTTGTGGCCGTTGACAAGGGCCGCGAGGGACCCCGTCTGTGGGGTGAGTTTCCTCAAAAAAGACACGTGGAGCCCGACTGCCAGTGACGAGAGCAGATGTAAGGGACGGCGTGCCAGGCAGAGGGGCTGCCCGAGTGGCCTGTGGCAGCCAGGACATCCTAAGAGGGGACAGGAGGGGACCCGTGTGGCCAAAGCAGTGGTGGACGCAGGTGGGCAGTTGAGAGCTCCGAGCGAGGGAGGCTGAAGAAGTCGGAGAGTCTGGGTTCATCTCAGAGGCTGGGGAGAGGTAGCCATGCGGGTGTTCAGTGGGGTCAGGATCCCAAGGGCCCCCACGGGGAGTGGCGCCCAGCACGGGAGTAGCTGGGGCAGGTGTGGGATGCCCGTTTCCTGCCCCAGATCCTGCTCCCGTCCCCTGACCTGCCCCAGATCCCGCCCCTGTCCCCCGACCTGCCCCAAGTCCCGCCCCTGTCCCCAACCTTCCCCGTGTCCTCTCCCTGTGGCCCGAGGACAGCTAGATCAGGCGGTAGCGGCTGTCCACCTCTGGAGGTGATGCCAGCCTGCGGGGGTCAGGAGGTGCGGAAACCGCTCCCGGGGAAGACAGGTCTCAGGAAAGCTCCTGTTTTTCAGAACCACGTTTAAGGAGTTTGCGGAGAAGTACGGCCGGGACCAGAGGTTTCGTCTTGTTCAAAGAAAGAAGGACCAGGAGCATTTTTTCAACCAATTCATACTTATTCTTAAGAAACGGGACAAGGAAAACCGACTCCGGCTGCGGAAGATGAGATGAGCGTGTGAGAGGCGCAGTAGGACAGGTGCGGAGCGGAGGGTGCCGCGCGGGGCTGCGCGCACTTCTCGGAGGATTACTGTTTCATATTGAAGCTCTCTTTTGTACGGCGTTCCGAGTCTGATGCGTTTCTAATTGCCATGGTAGGTCGCTCCCTTAATTGTTTAATTATGCAAAGTACTTGTAATATATACAAATCATAAACCCACCGCAGGTTTGTAGCTCAGCAGAAATATCTATATCCCTCTCAAGGTGTTTTCATGAGTTGATCTGAGTACCTGAAACTTTTCTCCAAACCTTTGTGTGTTCCCTGGGTTCTGAGCCCCGTGGCACGGGGGCTCCTTCCGAGTGCTGGGTGTCCGTCCGGTGTCCCGAGTAGTAGCAATAGCATCATCATCACCAGTCATAGCGACGACCCTGAGCGCCTCCACACGTGGACCCCGGACCCCCGCAGCCGTCCGAGGGGGCGCCGGGCCCCAGACAGGGCGGCCGCAACGTCTGTCGGGGGTCCTACTCAAAATGGGATTATTTTGTACAAAATCATCATACGAATAGTTGAGTTATTTTTATCGTATGCCCAGTTTGCATGAGATTTTTCTCATCATCTTTGTATAAAAAGAGTTTTAAATTTTTTTTAATTAATAAATATTTTAAACCAGTGTGTTTTGGTGGTAAGATTTCCACTGCGATCTCCAGCGGCAAAACGGTGTTTCAACTGAAGACAGTCTGTTTTGAAAGATTCCGAACAGTGTTTGTGAAGGCACACAAGGGCTGAGTGAGCACAAACAAAAATCGTGCCTTTCAACCTGCCCGTTCTGGGTGGAGCGATGGTGGCTAAAACCCAGCTAATTAACCGTGTTCTCTAAATTGTTGCCTGTTTATTTCACGGCTTACGGGGCCTCTCTTCAGATACGCTGCCACTGCCCCAGGGCACAGCGACACCTCCTCCTCGCCTCCCCGGTCCCTCTTCAGTGCGGTGAACACGCTCTCTGCCACGCGTATTAGGACGGAATTGGGCGGGTTTCTCTCTTCTTTGGGGTAAGCCCTGGTCTCAGCACCAGTGTTGTGAGGCTAGCTTCTGGGTTAGATCTGGGTTCTGGGGCCATCACTTGGGTTCAGGCAGCAGCCAGTGGGGTTGGGCATCCGGGGCAGGGGCCAGGAGGCAGACCCTCCGGTAAGGGTCCAATCTGGAGTAGAACCCACCTTGTAAACTGAACAGAGAAATTTAATGGAAAGAGTTATCACATATAAAGGCATTCGGGTAATGAGGCTGGTGAGTCCGGGTGACCGCCAAAGAACGCACAGACGACAGCCACAGGAGCAGACGTGACCCCCAGGGCTCAGAGAAGCCCCCACGGAAGGAGCCCCCCGACCCGTGCAGAGATGGGGACCTCCCGGAGAAGGCGCGGCCGTGGCTCTGGGAGCGCCGGGAGCCCGCCGTCTGAGATGCCGTGAAAGTGGCTCGTGTGGTGGGTCTGGTGGCATACCCTCGCCCAACAGCACCCGGAGAGACGGCGGGCTGGGGGAGGCGGCCGGCTGTGCGGGCCTCGGGACGCGGAGCCGGGACAGAGACGGAACCCCCGGCAACCCCTGAGGTTCGCACAAGCCAGCGGCCCTCCTGCCATCTGTCCCGTCCACTGGAAAGCCAGCTGACTGGCTGCTTGCCCCGAGAGAGGCCGGCCGCCTGGCCACAAGATCCCACGTGACTG